AGGATAAGCGGATGGATGGATGGATGGAATTATAAAGAAAGTTGAATACAATATATATAAATGGCTCAGCTGGTAAATTTCCCAGTACGAGAGGCTCAGTTTTGTAACTAAAATAGTAAAAAGATAGCTCTTGTGTTTTATTTAGCTTGGTAGCTATTGCTACCCAGTGATCATGGTTCAAGCAGTGACAGTTAAAAAGAACGAGGACTGTAGGAAGGAATATTAATACAATAGAAGTTCAATCAGATCCTCCAGAGCAGTACACCTTAAACAGGCCATCGCAGATGAACTCAAAGTGATAAATAACCATTCATGCACACTTTCACACCTTTGGGGAATTTACAGCCACCAGTAACACTAACATGGATATCTTTGGACCAGTGTTGGGAAGGTTACTTTTAGAATGTATTCCACTACAGATTACAGAACACATGCTCCAAAATGTACTTTTATTGTATTCCGTTACGTTACTCAATGAGAGTAACGTATTCTGAATATGTTACTATATAAAATAATAATAAAGCCTGAAATAATTATAGCTTGTATTCATTTTCCTGCTAAAAGCATGTCTGTTAATGACTTTATTGCAGTTTATATTCACATATGTCTTTAATATCTTCGTAGACTCATCAGCCACCTTTTAATGCTTATAACCGACGTGTTAAATCAGCCAATCACGTGGCAGCAACTACATGCAACATTTAGGCATGTAGACATGGTCAAGCTGACCTGTTGAAGTTTGACGTGACCATCAGAATGGGGAAGAAAGGTGATTTAAGGGAGTTTGAACATGACATGGTTGTTGCTGCTCAGAATCTGATCTACTGGGAGTTTCCCACACAACAATCCCTGGAGTTCACAGAGAACGGTCTGAAAAAGAGAAAATGCCCAGTGAGCCATTGCTCTCTAGTGAAAAGGCCTAGTTGATGCCGGAGGTCAGAGGATAATGGCCAGACTACTTGGAGCTAATAGGAAGGCATCTGTAACTCATATAATCACTGGTTACAAACCAAGTTATGCAGAAGAGCATCCTTGAGTTCACAACACGTCAAACCTTCATCATCTACACGAGCAGAAGACCACACTTAATGTCACAGAACAGGAAACTGAGGAAACTCATTAAAACTGGACAACAAGAGATTGGAAATATGTCGTCTGGTCTTATGAGCCTCGATTTCTGCTGATGACAGGATCAGAATTTGGCAGCAACATAAAGCATGGATCCATCCAATGGTGTGGGGGATACCTTCTTGGCACACTTTAGGTCCATTAGTATCAATTAAATATTGTTTAAACGTCACAGCCTACGCGAGTCCATGTTCATCCCTTTATGACCACAGTGTACGCATCTTCTGATAGCTGCTTTCAGCAGGATACAGCTCCATGTCTCAAAACCTCAAATCATCTCAGACTGTTTTCTTCAACATGACCGGATGTTTACTGCACTTAAATGGTTTCTATGGTCACCAAATCTCAGGCAAGTACCTAAGGAGACACATTTAGGATGTGGTGGAAGAGGTGATTCCCATCACGGATGTGCAGCAGACAAATCTGCAGCAATTGTGTGATGCTACTAAATCAAAAATTCAGAGGGATGTTTCCCATCAATAAGTAATCTTTTCACTCACTGTAGTGCACATCTTTGCAATCAGGAAAAGCTACTAATCCCATTTCTCGAGAATATCATCCTGTTTGTTTTAGGTGCTTTTCCCCCACTCATCTGCACAAATCAGGTCCAGACACTCATTCTTCCACATTCGAGTGGGAAAAAGGAAACATGCACAGGAAAAAAATCTTTTTATTTAGGTGTTTGACTTTCAAGAGGAACTACTGTGAGGGGCTTGAATGTCAGCACTTGAACCGGTTAACAACCAATCATAGCCCAGCATTTATAAAGACCACCAAGCAGTCTGCAATCCAGGGCTAAGCGAAGACGTTACAGAGAAACAATGTTGTATGGTAAATTTTAAAGAACAAACAAATACCCCAAGCCTTTAATAAACACTAAATCCTGTGAGAGTAGTCTGGGTGTCAGTTATTGAATAAAAATGATGCTTCCAGACATCCTGTCCACTGTCACCTAAAATGAGCTCGTCTGGTATATGACAGGTACCAAAGCTCATCTGTTGGGGCTGTGTCATTACATCCAACAAAAATAAGGTTATGAAATAAGATTATCAAAATGCTTCTGTAAGATGACAAATATCTGACATGAGCGACGTCACTGGCATTTGAAACCAGTTTATTTTTTCTAATTAGACTCGCCGCCTGCCACTGTGACATTTTTTGGTTATTGCTCACCTCTCATTCACCTGTGGCCAGCCTAAGTTTAATAAGCAGCCTTCGTCATATCCCCTCCACGAGATCCAGATGGTGAATGGGTAATGGATGATGACTGTAGACAGACAGATGAACGCAATACACATCCTCGCCGTCGCGTGTCGAGTTATTTGTGAGCACCATCTGCTGGAGGAGGCCAAGTAATCATTTCCTGCGTGTGTGGCTTTTCTTTACGTCGTTATTACCCCCTCTTCAATTCTGAGTCATGCTTTAAAACTCCATCACACAGAAAGGGAAAAGAAATCCTATTAATAAATGATTGTTTGATGACTTTTTATTTGGAAAAACCCTGATTACATGCTCACCCAGATACTTACAGCGATGTGTGGTTCTTGGTTAAAGCACTACAAATAATGGTTCATCTACACATGACATTATAGTGACTGTGAACAGTATATATATATACAGTCTGTAAGACAATGCTATTTTTTACAAAAAAGATATCTTAAAATCAGGATTTTTAAAAATAAATAAACACAAGTGCAAACTATGGTTGCGTGAGCGCCTTCGGACCTGCATGACAAGGGAAAAATCACAAAACACAAGGCTGAGGCACTGTATTGCTTCATTCTCTTCAACCATAAAACAATAAGGGAAAAATAGCTGAAAGCTTCCAACCACGATAAAGCAATCCCTCAGTGTATTGATCTCTCCAGTTCAGTGGAAGTACCATCAGCTTTACTGTCTAACGGCCATTTAGAAAATGAAACTGAAGTACCTTTAACACTGGCGTGAAATCTATTTGATGATTTAGTGAAAGTGACTCGTCAGACTCACACTTAATCCCTTCAAAAGAAAGGAGAGAGAGACAGAGGATGACATATTTTATGAATTCGGTGTACTTTTTTTTAAAACCACTTATGAAATTTTCATCTGCTAGTATTGAAGTAGAAAGGCATGTTTCAGTGCTACAGTGACTACAAATAGCCAGCCAGTGCATGGAAGATTTAGCAGAGTGCACCTGTGTGAGTCTGGATGTGCGTGGGATTCTGTGGATGTGTTTCAGAAAAGGCAAGAGTGGGAGTACTACATCTAGCCAGCAGAGTCAGTCTCCAAAGCAGGAATCCGAGTGATATTTCAGTAGCTCGCTTTCAGTGTATTCTGTTTTAACGGGTCAGTTCACCCAATTATGTAAAATTAAGTTACATAAAACTGGCTTTGTGTGTCCAGAATTTTAGATATCTGAATATTAGAGAGTGAGCAGAGATTACAGCAGCTCTATAAAGAGTGCTTTGACTTACATGCAAAACTCAACATGCTAACAATGACAAGGAAAGACTTCCAGATGCTCAAAAGCATTTCATAGGGGGTGCTTGTGCATCCATCCATACATCCTCTGCCTCCTCCGGGTAGGACTTGTCATCAGGTGATCCTATTCAGATGCCTGAACCCCCTCAACTGCCTCCTTTTGATGTGGAGTAGTAGTCCTCCAAGTCCCGCCTGAATAACTAAGCTCCTCCCTTTATTTCTAAGTGAGACCCATTTCTGCTGCTTGCATCAATTCTTTATGTCACCACAGGGTGGGAACAGCTACCATTAAGGGTTCCTCCCTTAATGGCATGTAAATGCTATAAATTCTTTCCTGATCAATCCGTGGGCATTAGAAAATGACAAAATATTTATGTATATTATTAGCTTCCGATTAAGAAAACTTTAAGTAAATGTGTTTTTATTTCCGTGCAGACATATTGTCAGTTTTCCACTTTAGATTAATAAGAAGCATTTGTTGCTCACTGACATGGAAGAAACTAGTTACCATCTTAAGAGTTAAAGTCAAAATAAAGCTGAGGTGGGTGTGTTTGTTTTCAGTTTTGCAGGAATTCTGGCAAAAATTTAAACTCAGACCTGTTGCAGCTAGAGAGAAGGTGAGACTCTCCATCACTTTTAGTTAGTCTCATCATTAAAACCAGAACTACCGCAGGTGTTCGAAATATAAGCAGCTGCATGTATTATTCAGCACCTTCCCACTGTCTATCAGAAAACTGACTAAGTGTTCCTTCCTAGACCCGTCCTGTGAGATCCAATCAAATTCACATTTAGCACTCTTGGCTTTTAGAAGCATGACGTACCTGAACGGCATAATTAAATGACTTTTTTCCCCCTAAAACTGCATTAGCCTTTTCCCCTTAATTTTTACATAATTAAATTAAAAGGAGTTCGCTTCTCGAAGAAAAACACTAATTTATATGAAAATGAAGATGAATGCAGGTGACGTGGGAGCACTTGTTTTCAGTTCGGCAGGAATTCTGGCAAAAATTTTAATTCAGACCTGTTAAAGCTAGAAAGAATGCAAGCTTCGTCATCACCGTTTAATTTAATAACTGAAAGTCTTTAAATGTCACTGTTCAGTGCTTACACAGAAGAGCCTCCAATCTGTCCGGTCATTTTAGCAATATCTCAAAATCTGGGCACACAAAAGCAAAAGTACAGCACAGACAGTATAGAAGATGTTGCTGTGTAGTTTGGATGAACTAACCCTTTAAGTTATTTTTCTCTTCGTTCAAGCGTGAATCACCACTGTAAAGCACTACAGAGGTGTAGTGTTTGTGTAAAACTGTAGCTGTGATTAGAAATAGGTCAGTAGTGCCATGTTGCTGTTGTACAGTGGGAATATTTTTATGGGCTCCAAGTGACTGATCAACAGCCAGACCTTGGCCCTGCTGGGCTCCTACTCATCTACCCTGTTGGCCAGCAGCTATCCAGACTACTCTTGGGGCCCTGGGGCTTTCATGACCATGCTGGCTCCTACCATGCCTGGATAACTCCGGTTCCTCCTCATTCCATCAGGTCCAAAAGGGGAGCCAGATCTACGCAGTCCACCCAGAGGCCCTAGCATGGGACCAGGGCTCATCGCTCTGCTTCCGGGGGCTCCAGCCACACCCAGACGCTTCACCTTGTCTACCAGGTTCAGATTGTGGACGGCCACGCTAACGTCTGTTTGGCTTTCACAGTCCCTGCCTCGCTGCCTGCCTCTCATCCCCCCTGTCACCTCCTTCAGGATGGAACGGGCTGGTTTGGAAGCCAGGAAGTTCTCATAAGAAGGACTCTTGAAGTCAAACCCAGCGGAGCTTGGCACAGCTGAAGCTCCCTGTCTTGTGGGAGAGTTTGGAGGGGTCGAGGGCCGCATAGGATCGGGATTAGGTGTTCGGTTGGGGGCAATGGAGGTGCTTAATAGGACTCCTCCGCTGCCCTGACCCTGCTCCAGGCCCTGGCTCTGGTGATACACAGCTGCTGAGATTCCTCTCTCCTGGAGAAGACGTACCAACCCCAGGGAGGTGCTGGTGGTGCGTGTAGCATCTCTGCACAGACATGAGACAAAATACACACATAATGTCCTTTCTTAAAGGAACAGTTCACACCAAACTCAAATGCATATAGTTTTTCTGCTGATTATTTATCCAAATAAACAGCCAGCTATAACCAAGGAACTACACCTGTCAACCAAAGGAAGCATTCAGCCCGACAGAGAGGGAAGGCATTAATGCTTACAATACCACAAGTCTGTGATCTCATGCAGTTGAATGCAAACTTACTTTTTATATGCACTCAATTAAATATGACATTATATAAAATATGAAATTAGCTAAAACAATCTTTTGATTTTACTTTGTCTTTTAAATAAAAAGGAAAATGTCAGAATATGCAGTTTCTTGCCTGAGGTTAGTTGAGGATTCAGAGGGCCTGAGACTGAGCCTGCGGGACGTGCAGGGAGTAGCAGCAGGAGTACCCAGCAGAGTGCTGGTCATCACACAGGAGGACGATGCAGGCACTGGGTTTAAACTGGAGGGAATGAGAAGATTTCATCTAGGTTAACAAAAAAATATAAATATATAAATCACACTTTCAGATGGTCTCATCATTAAAACCAGAACTACAGCGGGTGTTCAAAATATAAGCAGCTGCATGTATAATTCAGCACCTTCCCACTGTCTATCAGAAAACTGACTAAGTGTCCTGCCTAGACCCATCCTGTGAGATCCAATCAAATTCAGAATGAGTGCACATTTAGCACTCTTTCAGCTTCTAGAAACATGATGCATCTGAACGGCGTATTTAAATGACTTTTTTTAAGAACTGCATTCGTTTTTTCCCACTTAATTTTTCTTGTCACTATAGTGTGTGAAGTGGCATTAAGTGCCGTTTTAACTTTCTAAAAGGGCGCACTTCTCGAAGAAAAACATTTACTAATTTTTATAAAAATGAATTACTCGATTTTTTTTTATTTTATTGTAAGGTAAAGACCCTACAATAATACAAAGAAAACTCAGAGCCAGAGTTTCATTTTAAGCGTCGTTATAAGACCATTTTTAGCAGAAAAGCTCAACTCTGCAGGAGTCAGTTATAGATAAATTTAGTCAGGGTCACTCTAAAAAGAAAAAAGATATTTCAATGTGCAACGATGTCCATGGCTCTGGGAAGCATTCAACAAGCCCCCGGCTCTGAGTAGAGTAGCATTAAAAGGTTATGCTGGGGAGGAGGTGGGTTACAAAGCAGCATGCAGATGTGCACCAGGTATAGGCAGGCTAAAGGAGCTTAAAGAGTGTGCCCATAGTGAGAACTGTTATTCTCATCGCCTGCCTGAACTAACACTATGTGTGACTTTCGGTGGCTCGAATAATAACAAAGAGTCGACTCTGATCACAGACACTTAATGATGCCGCTCACCTTGGCGTAACCCGCGTCTGCTCATCAGTTGGATGGAGGATCCGACAGGTTGTAAAGGTGTAAGTGGAGCTGGTGTGAGCCATGCATTTACCTGGGTAGTATGCAGCTGGAAGTCAAACACAAACAACCTGTCACTGTCAGTCACCACATTTTAGCCTTTTATACATGTTCAACAAAGTGGAAGTATTTATGCACTATACTGCCAGAAGTGTTTGCTCACCTTCACACGCATATAAACTTGAGTGAAATCCATTCTTAATTATACTTTTGGCAGTATAATGTATTTAGAGTCAATGAAAATTTGCTATATGTCCTCACCCAGAGCATCGGTGTTGCTGAGGTGTGGTGATGGTGAGGGCGGAGAAGGTGGGGCCAGGGTGACTGAAGGCTGTACGAGGTTGGCGTCACTTGTACTGGAGGTGGGGGCCACTGCCGGTGAGGCAGAAGCTGAGGAGGTGGGAAGATTTTGGAAGTATTGCTCTCCTGGTTCATCCTCCTCAAAGCCGCCCCATGGGTACGCCTTAACACAAACAAAGAGCCATGCAGGGAAGGGAGAGGAGTGCTTTACAGGTGATAAGGTTTGATTCTCGTTACCAGAGGATGGGCCTAAGTTTAAACCAATACAGCAGTACATGTAATCAACGGAGATGGTTTAGCAGATACACGCAGAGAAACCTCACACACAGACCTGCTCCAGCTCTAGTTCTAGAGGTCTGTAGCCCTTTGGCACAACTCCTGGCCTGGCATCCAAGATCACACCCAGGTGAGGCTGGGCTAACTGCTGCCAGTGGTGCAGAGTGGCAGATCCTGGTGGAGAGAAGTGGATTTAACTTAATGTACTTAACTCCACCTGCACCATCTCCAAACACACAGACAAAAAAACATTTAGGGGAACATGAAACGTTTTCAACTGGCTGCTTTACCTTCAGCAGATGTTTTATACCTTAAATCTCCTGAAAATACTTGTTAGCATTTTAAAAGGCATTCCTACGTTAACAGGTTTTAAGAATTATATGTAACTGAGAAGTAACTAGCAGTAACAGCAACAAAACCGATATTGTGCACACACATATCTCAGAGTGTCAGCCAGTAATTCATGCAATTAAGAACAAAAGGTATTTTAGATCCTTTTCTCTATAGAGCTCATCCATTCAATAAAAAAGTGAAGATGAAGCTAATACTATAAGTGAAGAGGATGGCAGAGAAAGGTGAATATCAAAAAGCTATGATTATCAGAGGAATGATATGAAAAGGAAATGAAATGGAGGAGCAAAGCAGAATGAGAATCTTTTTATTAAGACAGCCACATGGATTAATGACAGAAAATAAACAGAGACAGCAAAGAGGTGACAGAGTGAGCAGTGAAAAAATGAAAAAGCTTAAAAAATTCTAAGTTACGAATGAATATGGACAGAACAACGTGTATAAATATATAAGAATACATATAAACAAATCCACAATAGCAGGGCTTCTGCAGGGGGGATAGATTCAGTTTAAATAAAGTATAAAATATTACCAGCAGAGGGCAGCACAGGCCAAAGGAACATGTTTTGAGTAGTTCTATTCTACTTAGCATTATTTTCTATTGCATACAGAGTATACCATTACATATCATAATAAACATAGCCAAAGTTTCATATAAAGACCTCAGAGTATGTGCAAATAATCCCTGAAGCTCGCGATTCACACTTCTCTTAATGGCCAGCACGAGCAGGTTTCCCTAATTTTGTCAACTTTGACAGCAGTGTTGCCAACTCCTCAGTAAGGAAAATCGCTATTGGTTGTCCTAAAAGTCGCTAGAAGTCGCTAAATGACGTCATCACTTAATTAGCATAATTGGTGATGCTTATGTATTTGAAAACTACGTTGTAGGAGAGAGAAATAACATTGTGGAAGAGACATAAAGTCAGTAAAAAACAGCCTAAATGCATTTAGGATATATTTAGAACTACAAATTAAATTTCTTTTAGCAATTATTGTTTTTTTATTATGTCACAATTCCAACTCTCCTCCTTTATCCAGGCTTGGTACCGGCAAAAGTAACCCGAAATAGGCAGTCTGGCGGAGTTACTTTTTGTGTTTGTTTGTGTGTGTTTTTAAAGTAGTTTTAAACCTTGTGATCCACAAAAAGTAAGAGTAAAAGAAGAACTGACTGTTATAGTCAGGGCGGGAGCAGCGGCTT